CACCAGAACCTAGCTTCCAATAGTCCGTTACAACACTCTATTTTCACCCTTGTATTTTTATGACTATTGTTGTAGCGGTGTTGTGGAGTATTTGGTTCAACTTCATTAAAAGGGGTTAATAACCAAGTTCTCATCAGGGGATACCCTGAATCACCTATAATAAAAAGTTCTTAAATATAGTTGCACTTAACACATCGTCGTCCTACCCAAGAGAGAATAAGTCTTTGTTGCCTGTAAAATGAATTTGTCTCAACAGAGTTTGCAGGTTTGATCGATTCCAAAGAAATGCATCATTAGTGCTACCGGGATATTTGGCACTTGCATTTATGGGTAATTTTTAAATTTACATCACAAACCTACGAATAACACCTTTATTTGCAAAAATGTATGCTCTTGTAATTAGTTATATGTCATAATGCTCTCACCAACTGAACATTTATAGAGTGATATTTTTTTCTATTAACATATACAGTAGACTCGGGCTAGTGTGGACACGCGCTTCTGTGAACCTCCCAGTAGTATGAACAGCCAGAATGAATACATTATATAGGGTGACAACGAAATCGTTATACAAGGCGTCATTGAGTTGTCTTTAAATTTAAAAATTTGAAAATCGGGTGGAACGGGTAAGTCATTGAGACGCACACTTTTCATAAAAAAAACAATTGAATATCACTTCCGGTTACTTTGGAAATGGACCCAAGTCAAGAAATTTTTATGGAACCCTGTATATTTTTTTACACAGTTGGATAGAGCTCAAAATTCCCTTTTCAACGACATATGATAAGTGGAATTTGCTTTAAGGATGGCGACGTGAGATGGCACTTTCTTAAATTCAATATGGCGGCATTCTGATCTAACCTTTGCATACCTTAACCGAAAAATGAATATGCATTTTGGTAGACATTTTTCGGTAGGCCATTGGACACACTTTAATTCTAGAATTTAATAAGTACCTCTTCCTATTCAAAATTTTTAGAAAATTTGAAACTAAAATTTGCATTTCCAAGAAATTTTGAAATGCCCTTGTTTTTGAGCAAAATCATTTTTTTTTCAAATTCGATGTTAAACCATTTCAAATCTAAAAATTATGGATTGGGAAAAGTATTTGTTTGACAGAAACATTATCGGTTACGTCGAATGCCGCCATATTGAATTTAAGAAAAATACCTTCTTAGGCCGCCATCTTGGAAACAAATGCAAGTTGTGATATGTCATTGGAAATGGAATTTTAAGCTCTATTCAACTGTGCAAAAAAATATACAGGGTTCCATAAAAATTTCTTGACTTGTTCCATTTCCGGAGTAACCGGAGGTGATATTCAATTGTTTTTTTACGAAAAATGTGCGTCTCAATGACTTACCCGTTCCACCCAATTTTCAAATTTTTAACTTTAAAGACAACTGAATGACGCCTTGTATAACGATTTCGTTGTCACCCGGTATTCTGTAGTGTGAACTTTTGAGAATTTCGGTAGTATGAACAATCTATTTGACCACGAAATTAACCGTTTTTGACGTTTTCTGCCTACTTGTTGTTTTCATCGGTTGTTTTCGTTCAATTCTGGGGTTCCCCGAATGTTTTTAGACAAGGAATGCTCAGATATGTTGAGTTACTGCATTCACTCTAATGTGAAGTACACAAGTGGCAGCGCGTCAAGACTACGTTGAAAAGTCCATGGGCCGGTCTCAAAAGCGAGTCACCTCTGGGTTGATTTTAAGTCCAGGGTAAGCATGTCCAGTTGCAATTTTCACACTCGAGTTATGCTTAACCCGGGGGTGACTCGCTATTGAGAAACCGGCCCTATAAGTTTTTAGTTCGTTGTTTGTTGTGGTTAATCAGTTTTGTGAAAATGGCGAAAAACCGATTTTTTTTAACTCTCTAGGGTCTGTTCGCACAAGAGTCTCTGACTGTTTGCAAATGCATCGCCCATGCATGTTTTCAATGCCGTCGTTCCAAGATAAATCAGTAACTTAGCTGAGCGATTGTTACTGACAGTTTGGAAAATGTCAGGGACTATTGTGAGAACAGACCTTATGAGAAGTCAAAAATTCTAGAGGATTGCCAGCAAGGCATAAGTCTATATTGTCGTTAATGACACAGAAAGCCTAAGAAACAATGATCAGCTAGAACCATTCAAACAAAAATTACATCTCACTTTAACCAATAAACTGGAAAAATTTTCTTAATGGATATGTTCGCAAGTACCTATTGTATTAATTTCTCTTGAATTTCAAATCTAAAGACCATTGCTGACAGCTGACAGTATTTTAAATTTTTAGGTAGACCTTCGATGGTGTGACCGTCTCGATAATATGGACGCGTCCGGTTTTTTTGTGTTCACACTAGCGCGAGTCTATTGTATTTGTTCGGGAACTTCAGGGTCATCAATTTTTGGGGCAACAATTGCGGCATGAGCTGGGTTTGGCTTGCACACTCCGTGCACTCCGAGTGACTCCGTTCGCACTCCAGCCGTTCGGGTATTGCCTTTTAACGAATCAGACAACGGCTGGAGTGCGAACGGAGTCACTCGAAGTGCACGGAGTGTGCAAGCCGAACCCAACTATGGTTGCAGACTATGCATCCTATTACACCAAGATATGGACATCGAAAGATAGATACCCATATTAGAATCTTGCCGTTTTCTAATTTTATTCGGTACTTCAAAATTCCGAGGGAATTTCACCCATTCATTGACGAATACCGGTTGTAATAACGCATCTGTAACTTCTTTTATACATTTGGAAACTGTTGATTGGCACACATCAAGATTTTTATTGCCACCAACATCAGGTTGATAACTACCGCTGGCCAGTAGCGTAACTTGACATCAGGGGGCCTCGGTGCAAGATTAGATCAGCCTGCTCGCCATTGACCCCGCCGGAGTTTTCTGTGGGTGCCACGCCCAAAAACGGTAATTTTAAGCCTTCAAAAATAGTATATTGTGTATTTAGGTGGAAAAGTGACACATTCTCGGCCGATGGTGTAAGTGGACGGGCGCGGCGCAGCCGTGGCCGGCAAACACCGAAGACCGAGATGTGCTTTTCCTCTGAAATACACATACGATTTTTTCTGCGATCGCTCCAGTAATGGAAAAAATGAGGAATGTTTCTGTGTTGTTCGTAAAAATCAGTACGATTTCCCAACCTAGGTCGGAAAAGTGATTCCCGTACTGTTATCCATTGATTCCTTATCAATCACTTTCCCGGCCTAGGCCGGAAAAGTGATCCCCATACCAGAACATTGTGTTTTGCGACCTGTCAACTGGTCAAAAATTATGACATTTCTTGTCATACGCAACATTTTTTTTCTATATCACATATTACGAATTTAATAAAATAGGTAGGTAGCTTATGACAAATGAGGGGCCCCAGGGGCCCCTCATGCCTTGGGCCTCGGTGATTTGCACCGAACTGCCCTATGATAGTTACGCCAGTGCAGCTGGCAAAAAATATTGAAACATACAACATAGTAGAAAAGCTACTTTCGGGACTGAAGAGGCATTCATTTAGGTGTGTACCTTCGTAGTGATGTCTAAATCTATACATTCGATCAAATATAAAACAAGATCTTTTGGTAATCAAAATAACTTAATAAATTGTTGTTGTAAATGGATCTCGAGGGTTATGCTGGTTGTTTGGTCGATTTTGTTGCTCTGTTATTTCCATATTTCGCATTGCAAGCACATTCATTAGTTCTTCCATTTTTAATGATTTATATTTCTCACGACAAGAAACCACAAAGTTCACACAAAAACCCTGAACAAATTGACAGATGAAGAAGAAGAAGTGAAGGAGGGTCTCGACACCACTCAAACCCATCTTTGCCTCTGAAGGAGTGCACCCCGACAATTTATTTGCGATCCTTCAGTATTGGGCCCATAAGCCAAATGCGCGTTAGTGTGAGTGATGATCCTTTCCTATAGTGGGTAAGAAAACCCAGGAGATCCCTTAAACCCAAGGTCCCTGAAGTTAATAGGTTGCCTGGTAATGGGTAACCTGATGACGCATCTGGGGTGCCTTATGGAGATTTGCATTATGTTGAGGCACCCCAGATGACATCATAAAGTTGTCAGGCAACCTACCTTCCTCGAACAACTTTGCCTAAGACCCTCCTGAATAGACAGATGAAACAAAATAATAACAGCCGATATAACCACAAATGTAGGTACTACGTCAGCGTATACGCAAAAACTCGGCGAGTCTCTCGCCGCTCGCAGTGAAACGTATAAGAATGTGCGCATACGCAAAGATGCGAATACTCAGAAATGGGATTTCGTAGTCTTCGCACATTTACGTAGATTTTATATAGTTATACGAATGGTTAAAAATTGGTCCCCAGCCCCTGCTCAAATACCTGGTAGAGTGTGGCATCATGAAGCTGCAGACTGGAATGGCTTGAAAGTCTTTTTCTCGAACTGTACGTGGTCCGATGTTTGCTTCAAATCCAAAGATTCCTCCGAGGCTGCACAAGGGGTTACCTGCCGAAGTAATTTCCTTAGGTATGGTAGGTATTTTGTACATTGCACACTCCAATAAAACATCCCGTGCCGGATAACCCTGGTTTAAGGAGCAGTGTGTCCGAGCGGTTACAAAAAAAGAACACCGCATATCGTGCTTGGAGTAGAAACCAATAATAATAATAAACTGTCTCTTTATTTACAAATGTAAGTAGATTACATTTGCCCATAGGGCGAAGATTAGCTAGAGCTACTCTTTAACTCTTAACCCTATATTACACAAAGAAATACTTATAGGTAAATACCCATAATAGATAAGACAATATGATCAAATTTACTTATTGCTAATACAAATTATAAATTATAAGAAATTAAGATATTACATTGTGAATAAAACCTACACAAGTAATTGTTCTTCCAAAAACAGATGTCTGTATACTTTTCAAAACTGTTGAAATGAACAATGCAAATTAGTTCTTAACTGATTATATGTATAATAAGGAAGGATACAATATTAAATGTATAGCTTCGAGAACATAGAGCTGTTGAGTGGTGCGGCATAGTCAAATTATTGTGTCTAATATTTGTATTATGTATGCACCTGATTCCTAGGTATGATTTTTTCTAATAAATATTTTGGTACCTACTTGATTTTTCAACAGACGATACATAAAAGATAGCAGGAGAAAATTTAACAAAAATGAAACTTTTAACCATTTTAACTAACATACCTATGTATATGAATAGACACGTGATCAAATTTTCTTAACCCAGAAACAAATCGACAACATGTATTCTGAATACGTTGCAATATCTGTTGAGACCGGTGGTGGACTAACTAGATCAATCTTAAATTCCTCGAAAAATGTACGCAAGCGTTCGAGCCCTGAACCTTCTTCCCACAACATATTCCGCTTCAGTTGTGGACACATTTTTGCTATCGTGATGCCCCCGTTATTGATCCTCCTGCAAGAAATATTAAGATTAGGATCAGAAGCAACGAAACTATTTTTCGGTACGGTTGATTCTTGTTTCGTTTATTAACAACTTGTCTTGCAACAATATAACAGAGTTACAAGGAGTAGGTACTTACCCTATATCATTATTTTTCATAATTTGTTGGAGTTGGACGTACTTACTCTGATTGGTAGATTTGTTGTGTTTATGACGTCTGGTAAGCCATTATAGTACTAAGGAGAACAAGTTGTCTTGGATTAAATCTCCAATTTTTTTCAAAACTGTTTCGATGGCTTGCGCCGAGGTTCCCAGCAGTAATCCAGCAGTAATCCAAATGAGCAGTGACAGCAAGGACGCACAGAGAAAACCCGAAGTCTGCAAAATGCGACCATCAGCTGCAGAATTAGGTTCACCAGTGCGGAAAACGACCTGTCTAAAGGCTAGGACTTGAGGAGCGTCCTTTAAGACTACCCTGACAGCCGTCAAATTCAGCTTGGGCAGGTACCCAGGCCAACTAAAAGTCACACAAAATGCGATCATGAGGGCACTGGAAGATATCGCATCAGAGAATGAGTCACAGGTCAGAATCTACAAATGAACGCAGAGCTCAGGGATACTCTCATGTGCAGATATCCAAAGCTCCCAGTGGGTCGGGGAATTTATTCCGAACCTGTGGAAGGAAAAAATAATTAAACATTATTTATTAGCTACTACTCTTTTATTCGACGTTGTAATTTTTATTTGAACCCCACAGTTTATTATCAATTACTTATACTACCCTACTTTTGATATTCCGTTTGGCTGGTCATATCTTTAAAAATCAGAATTTCTGATTTGGTTTTTTGTATCGGACTTTCCTTTCTTAATGGAATCTAAGGATTTCTGCGATACGAGCTTCTCAACTAACGTAGGAGCCCTTTGACTTCTAATAATGGCGGAAACGTTCTCTTTTTCCGTTTTATCGGTATCTATATAGGATTGTGGGCTGAATAGAGTTCCATTTCGAATTTCGCAAGGGCTGCGTCCTGTTTTTTGTTGAATGTAGGTCTTTTGATAATAATTTTCTATTTTTCTCAGTTTTGAACGCAGTTAATACCTACCCATAGATTGACTCTTTTACTACTACTCGTTTTTCAAACAAAAGCAAAACCACTCTTGAATTGTCGAAGAAAACTAAACAATCGCACGTGAATCCCTGATAATCACACTGTGTCTTCATCAGAATAAGTAGGTAGGTATAATTAAATAAATTCAACATGATGTTTCTTGATAAAATGATATTGTAATATTTTTTTTTTACATATTTTATCAAGAACTATCATAGTGTATCGATACATATCAGTCACTCTTTTTCAAGTAGTCAATATTATCAGCGTCTGCAGATTATATAGAATTAAAAGACCTTTCAATACAAAAAAAAATCACAACATACCTTTACTAGTATCCCAAACGTTTGCATCGTGAAATTCCACTTGATACGGAGCAATCTTGATTCAACTATACAATTTCCTGCAACAACTCTTTGGCTTCGGCTGAAAGTATTCCTTTAAATTCGGCTTGTAAATTCGGAATGACAAAACTCGTTGTGGCACGTTCCACACCCTCCGTTCTTGTTTCTTTGTTCCATTCTTGCACGTTTTCACTAATAGACCGTCAGAGAGTGACATATTTAGGTGCCCAATTTTCGCATGAAAGCCTGGAAGATGGTTAAAAAGTACATACATCGATGTTGAGTAGAATGAAGGGAAATTTAAGAGTGGCTCCTGGTGATAACATATGGAAAATTCGATTTTCGTTTTGTTACCCTAAAATATACTAATCCATTCGCGCCACTCAAGCAAATATGTTTTTAGGGCTAGTGTAAGACATGTTTCATCTTTCTCCCATGTGTACAGGTTGGTCCAAATTGCACACTTTCTTATGGAAACACCCTTTATTTTTAGAGAAAAAAATAGACCCCCCACTCTGAGGCTCAAATTTCATGAAATCTTGATTGGTGCAAACTGCATTTTGATATCTTCAACCGTTTAGCCACTAGAGGGGGATTCTCGATTTTGAGCAATACCGTAAAGCCTCCATAACTTTTTTGTTTATGAAAATAATTCATTTCCATATAGATCTTTTGGAAGCACTTTTTCAAGCAGAATTCAGTGACGTTCTCAGTTTTTTTCTGTCTGGCTTCGATTTCGAGATATTGACCATAATCCGATTTTTTTCAATAGGACACCCTATATATTAATAGTTTATTAGAAAGCTATGCTTTCGCTGATTTCAATGATATAAGGTTCGATAGGTTCATCTCTAACAGTTTTCGTGAAAAAAAATTATTTCGGTTTTTGTCATAAGAAACAATGTGTTGGAAAAGGACTTTATCTCTGTAAGGAAACGGAGAAAGGTCTCTTTCTAACACATTGTTTCTTATGACAAAAACTGAAATAATTTTTTTTCTCGAAAACTGTTAGAGATAAGCCTATCAAACTTTATATCATTGAAATCAGCGAAAGCGTAGCTTTCTAATGAACTATTAATATATAGGGTGCCCTATTGGAAAAAATCGGATATTGGTCAATATCTCGAAATCGAAGCCAGACATAAAAAAACTGAGAACGTCACTGAATTTTACTTGAAAAAGTGTTTCCAAAAGGTCTTTACGGAAATGAATTATTTTCATAAACAAAAAAGTTATGGAGACTTTACAATATTTCTCAAAATCGAGAATCGCCCTCTAGCGGCTAAACGGTTGAAGATATCAAAATGCAGTTTGCACCAATCAAGATTTCATGAAATTTGAGCCTCAGTGTGGGGGGTCTATTTTTTTCTATCGCTAAAAATAAAGGGTGTTTCCATAAGAAAGTGTCCAATTTGGCCCACCCTGTACAAAAGGTTAAAAAAAAAACATTTAAATATTCGCATCGTCGAGGTCCTGGTGCGAGACATACCAGGAATTATTTTCATTATTGAAGAACGTGACATATTTTATGTCAACAAAAATAATTTGAAGACTGGCTATCATTTAAACGTCGATGAGAAGAAAGTCTGTAACCACTTAGTGTTTTTTGTAAATTGAAACATAATAAGGTGAGTTTTCTCACTGAGTATACCCTGGTGCTATATTTTTGCAATTCTGCTTTTCTTCTTAACGATTTTATCATCTCATATATCTTAAATAAGAATTTGAGCAACTTATGCCCAATACAAGTTTATCCTAATCTTTACATTATTCATAAAAGGATAATAGATTGGTTTATCAATTAAACACTTCTCTTTAGATGATCTATTTTATGTTTGATACACTGTCGTGCGTTATTCCCTTCAGTGTTATCAGTTTGTACACTGTCGTGCGTTATTCCGTTCAGTGTTGTTAGTTTGATACACTATCATGCTTTTGATCAAGTGTGACAGAAAGGTCTCCTCAGCAAACTTCCATCGTATGGTCATACGAACGTACTTTGCCATTGGCTGGGAAGCTTTCTGGAAGGCGGGTCACTGCATGTTGTGATGGATGGTGGGTGTTTACTGATACACTTCCTACAAATGCCGGCATTCCCCAAGGCTCAATTCTGTAACCAACACTATTTCTCATTTCTATAAATGATTTGGTAAATGTGAAAAGAAACCCCGCTTAATGGCATCTTTCTCTTCTGACGAACTGCTTACTGCCACTTTCACACGCCTTGCCGGAGAACAGATTCACTCTATCAACAGTGATCTTGGCTATGGAATACTGTTCTCATATCTGGAGCGATGCTCCCAAGCATTCGTTGGCTCTATTAGATGCAGTACAAAGAAGAGCAATAAAAATTATCTATAATCCAATTCTCACCGTTTCATTGCAATCTCTTGAATATAGACGCAAGGTGGCCAACTTGTCGCTATTCTATCGCTATTAACATGGGAGATTTGCTGACGATCTGGCCAGACTCATTCCAGCTAGGAGAAGTTATTTGAGAACCACAAGAACCTCACAGGCATCGCATCCGTATGTGGTAAAGTTGGATACCCCAATGACCTATAAATATAGGGATTCTTTGTGGTGGCGTACTGTCCACCTCTGGAACTACTAGCCTCCTACCTCATTTCCTGAGCGTCGGGTTGATCGTCACTTAATTTCTTCCACTCATGGTACCGCTCAGGTAGTATGGAATTTGTCTTTTGTGAGCGAACCAATACAAAAAAAAAGCAAATGCATTGTTGCAAACATTGTGAGATTTTATAGTTAAATAGGAAATCAGAGTGTATGTCATATGTAGCTTCTCAGGATAACGTATGTCCACTTCAAAAAAATAGTCCTGTGCAATTTCATTACCAATGCCCATAATTTTTAAATAAACTTTTATTCTGACAACCACTTAAAACCACCATATGGTAGTGCTTGCGACATACTGTGTCCATTGTTGCGACTGGGTACCTTACAAAGGAAAAGAGGTCTAATGGAATCGAAATGTGGTGAAAAATTATTTTTGGCGATATGTTTCGCTAATTCCGCTCCGAATGTCCTTTTTGAACAAGCCTATCATGTCAATGTACGTCACCAAATCCAACTTTACCTTGCTCAACATACAATCAAAAGAGAAAGTTGGAAGGCTACAATACTGTGCAGGATCTAATTTATCTATTGTTAAACATATCCTACGAAACTCTTCCGAAATACTACTCAATAGAGGGTATAAATCCGAATATTCCCCTGAATTTCTACAATTAAACACGCGCCACACTTTTTCCGCTTGCTCTCCACTTATATGTTCCTCATTCACCTAAATTATCATTAAAATTATTATAAAATTGATTTTAAGTAGGAAGCAATAAAATTGTATGCGGAAACACCATTTTCTCTCATTAAATTAAATTAATCGATATCCGGAAATTGCTTACGCGTCTCCGTGAGTCTATTACCCTTTACGCATTTTCCCAAAATTTTGAAAGATAGACAAACATTTAGATATGGATGTAAATAGATTTGTTCTCTTTACTTTCAGCGATAACGTCACTTCCAAAACAATGCCGATATAATAATTTTTATAATCATGTGACTATCATAACCACTTAATTTATGGACTATAATTGGAGAGAAATTGAGAAGTTGGTAATTTAAGTTACAACAGAATGTGCTGAACCAAATCCTTTCTATGCTGGAAAACAACGCTTGTGCTACATCA